TTTGTAAAACCATACCACCTCAGCTTAAGACAATTTGAAGTTATCCACAACACACAGCATCACCTAACTCATGTCAGGGAGGACACTCAGAGTTTCTTTAGGTTTTACAAACTGAAAGGCTCCTGTGCTTGGCTGTATAGTTCTTGTGCTTTGACTGTTTTGTTTCCTTAATTGAAAGACTCATCCAGCTGTTTCACATTAACATTAGTGACACATACATGATTACAGGAGACCAATCAGCAAACAGCAAGAACTCAGTGTTTAAGTGAAATCCAGGTCCTTTTGATTGAAATGGTAGTTTACAGATCCTGTCCCGGCTCAAAGTGTCCTCCCTGACATGGATTATATGGTCACCCTACTCTAGCTAAGAGCTTCAGTAGGTTCTGAAACTGCTGGAGTCTCTCCAGGTCCATTATATAACATCACCAGGGCTGGGTAGTTTAGGTCCAGAGAGAAAAATCCAGACCAAGATTTTGTTTCAACCAACCAGTTGAGTATAAAGAGTCACAATCACAGAGTACTCAGCTGGTTGGTTGAAACAAAATCTTGGTCTGGATTTTTACTTTCCGGACCTGAACTATCCACCTCTGAGCATCACAGGCATTCAGGCATGCGATGCTGCCCATCTACTTGGGTGGATGGCTCTGGCCACTCCCACAGGTGTGATAAAGTCATGTGACTTTACCCCCCCCACATGTGGGAAGCCGGCCATTCAAAGCAGGAATGACGTCCTTGCATCTAGCTCGCTGTTCTGCCTGTGTCATCTTCCATGTATGACCCGCTGCCTTACTTCTGATTGCCTGGCGATTGGAGGGAGCGTCGGCACCGGCTTGTCATCTCCCCCCTGCTCCCCGGTTGTGTCTCAAATATCATGATTTGGACAGTATGACTCGGCACTTAGCCATCTCTCCAATTTGACTCTCCCTGCCGGCCCCCGGAGGATGGGCTCCCCCATTGAGTCTGGTCCCTCCCAAGGTCTCTTCCTTCTCGGGAGTTTTTCCTTGCCACTGTCGCCTATGGCTTACTCACTGGGGGCTTTGGGTGGGGATGCTGTAAAGCGCTTTGAGACGATGTAATGTTGTGATAACGCGCTAAACAAAAATAAATTTGTTTGTTGTTGTTGTTGAGAAAGCCAGGCCACCTCGAGGTCATTGCTCCACCATTCCACCGTTGTGGTGTTACCTGTGAGCCACATGATAATCAAAACTGTCCCTGTGAAACGGCTCCTGTCAGGAGTCATGGCCGACCTCCTTCTCAACCAGAGTTCATTATAAAAATGTGGGATAAATGATTAATCTTCTCCATTTCATTGTTTTACTCTGGTTCACAATGTGCCTGTCGCCCCTCTCACTGGAAATACTGGCATATTAGTGCTGCATTTGCACAGTCCGCCCAACGCCCTATGCATGGGTTACACCTCCATGGATTCAACCAACTGCGGGTCACAAATACTCGGGGGGGTGGAGGTGGGGGAATTAAAAATTCTAGAAAGTTCCAAACAGTGAATCTTTTTTTGCTGCATGCCAAACACTATGCTGAATTATGTGAATAAAGTGAGAAATCTTCCATTTATAAGTGTATTTTCTATATGTACTATGATCAGGGGCGCCGCCAGAAATCTTGGGCCCCATGAAAGATTAGAATTTTGCCCCCCCCCCCCCTTTTACTAACAGGGCCCCATGTCAGTGCTGGGCCCCTAGAATCGTTCTAACCTTTCCCCCCCTGACGGCGCCCCTGACTATGATGGTTGTGTCTGTACTGAACATGGGCAAACAATTGTGTTATTGTTTCCTACACATAACAGTATAACAATATTATACAGCATTTACGTTGTATTAGGTATTACAAGCATTCTTGAGATGATTTAAAGCGATGTGAGTAGGTTATATGCAAATACTATGCCATTTTATATACAGGACTTGCTTACCTGCAGGGGGTCCTGGAACGAATCCCCTGTGGATACTGAGAGCCGACTAGTTTGCTTTTTTCTTATAGTTTATATTTATTTGTAAAATATGGACGGGTGCCATGGGGCAGGATGGGGTCAGCTGACAGGCCCATTCACAAACCTTCTGCCATCTGATGCCATTTCGTCTTCCTACATAATTTTTTTCCCTTGTGTTGAGGCTGAAATACTTCCCCCCCCCCACTGATTTCATTAACACCCCCCCCCATAAAGCCTTCTTCCTTCTTCCCTTGGGCCACATGATATATTCCTTGCTA